AGGCAACTGGCCTCCTTGTTGCAAAAAAAGGAAATGTCGAGTTGTTTAAAAGAGTTTAGAGTCATCAGCGTTCTCATTTCCCTTGTGCAGAGACTTGAAAGGAGGCAAAGTGTTTTGATTTTTCTTTTTAAAGTGTTTTCATTTTCTTTAAAATGGTGAAGCACACCATTCTTATGCTCAAATCAAAACCTCCCAGAAGGGTCGAAGTTGTGGAAAAGATGCCGTTTTCTGCCTGCTTTTGAATGGAGGCATTGTTGAGTCAGGGGAACATGACAACTGCCACAGAAACAGCACAGACTCCCTGTGCCTTCTTTGTTCACAAACAAAGAATTTTGTCTGCCCGGGGTTCTTCAGCACTTTTTGTTTCTTAAACTAGAAAATGATCGAAGCGGTTGAGCCCTTTTTCTGCACTAAAATCAGCCACAGGGAAGTCTGTGAGCGACACTAGAGGACACATCTAGGAGAAAATTTTCTTTCCCAACAGCCGTCCAGAAATTTGAGTCTGCTTTCCAGGAGGTAGTAAAGATTTACGCCATCTTCCCTTGTTCAGGTTACCTGACCATCAGACATTCTGGGATCTCCATCTTGTAGGAAGCAGAGAATGTTGGGTAGGCTGGACTTCGGAAACAGAAATTGTTAGTAGCCATCTCTGCAGGAACAATACGACTAAACCCCGACCATGCCTCTCTCTTTGGCCACCAGACAATTGAGATGATGCACTTGAAATCTCTTGCTGGGCAGAGAAAAAAATTGTTGGGGGCCAGGTACCAGTCAGGTAGAGATTTCATCAGGACTGGGAGACTGCAGTCTGAGACAGGGCCCGTGATGGGTAGGTACACTCCTCCACCAGGATTGCTTAACTATGCGGACATCATTGTTGTTTTCTTTAAAACTGAATCTCTGGCTCAAGGGTAAAGGTGCTTAGCTCAAGCCCTGGGGCCCCACAAGGTGGAAGGGAAGAACTGACTGCTGAAAACTGTCCTCTAACACCCACCCCCCACACTAATAAATAAATAAATAAAATTAAATAAAGGAAGCCGAACCTCGTGGCAGAAGCTGCAACATGGACCTGTGGCTGGGAGAGGAGGGAGGATGGCTCACTGACCCTTTATTCTTCCAAACATGCTCAAGCTGAAGAAATCTTCTATTTTTACTTTTCGCTATTGCTGTTTAATTGATCCAGGCTGACTGGTAAGGGCTCCCAGGACTCAGGATCTGGCCCTAGGAACTCCAGTAACAGGGTCACTCTGTGACTGGTGGTACTGGGGGCTGGGAGGTAATAACTGGGAAAGTGGGTGGGGTGTCTGCCAGGCAAGGTCTAGCAGTTGAGAGGGGGAGGTCAGGATGAATGGTTGCCTAGTAGCTTTAAAGAAAGCAATGAGTCTAAAGTCTTATTTTAAAATAGTACAGTAAAGAGACCTGTAGATACGTGTCAGTAATGCAATGGAAACGTGTCTGACTATAGATCAGAAGGTTCTAGGTTAGTTCCTGGCTGCCTCAGATATGTTTTTAACCCAGCCGTAAGGACATCTTTTTTCGGATTTGACCCTTGCTTTAATGAATACCGATGAGAATTCTGAGGTCTTTCAGTTACTATGAAGTGAGCCTTTCACGTAGCCTCCCTCCCCCCCTCTCCTGATAAGCTAGTTGCTTAACTGGAATTCAGAGACCATCTAAGAAATCTGGAAAGAGGATTTTATACCGATAGATTATCTTAGCTTTAAACAAAAGGTACTTTGAAAAAAATAAAAAGGGGAAAGGAAACAATGTGGGTCTGTAGGTGTCTAAAATATTTTCTTCATAGGCGACGACCCTGTGTTTGGTTCTTATTCAGAAGTGACAAGATTAGAGGTGCCTAGGTGAGTCGCACTTCCTCCCCCTCCCCTGCCTCAGTAAAGGCCCTTACCACTACCACCTGGTTTCTATGGCAACTAGTGTGGCTACTGGGATTAAAGGTGTGTGTCACCACTGCCTGGTCTGTAAGGGTGACCAGGGTGGCTGTTTTACTCTCTGATCTTCAGGCAAGCTTTATTTATTAAAATACAAATGAAAAGCCCCTACAAAGGACAAAGGGAAAAAGGACAAGCATGGACTTGGTACCTCCCCCCAAAAAAAAACTGAAGCACAGTGGGAATCCTTAAAACCAAAGGATTTAAAACACAGGTTCTTGTTCCACGACAGTTTATTGGCGTTTGTGAATGTGTTAGGTGAGGAGTGCTAACCAACGACCCCCCCAAAACCATCTTCCCTTCACATCTTCACCTTTTGCTCCATCCCTGAACCTGAGAGTGAAGGGGTGCTGAAAACTGGTTAAGACTCAAGCAGCGGAATGGGATAACATTTTGTACAATTTCACGTCAGAAACACTTAAAACATGACCATCCTAAGCTACAAGACTCTTCAAAGATGTACTCAGGTAATAATAAGGCCATTCTTTTTCTTAAGTGTCTAAAACCTCTTACTTCCCTGCGATTATGTTGCTGACTTGCTGACTGTGACATTTTTTTAGACGTGTGGGAGTTTTGCCTTCATGTATATCTGTACACCACATGGAGAGATGAGAGACCACTCCTCAGTTAGCTCAATTGGTGCTCACAGTGCCAAGTTCAGAATGAGCACAGTACAGGCCTGCTGCAATGTGAACGCCTCTTGTGACTGTTAAGGAATAAGATACAGCGCCATAGAATTCCAGGTTGGTTTTTCCTGTTTTCCTTTGCCCACTTGATCCAACTGTGTTTCAGAGTCCCCAAAGTTCAATTGTTCTTCCAGGTAATATTCTTCCCCCTGGAACAAGAGCTGGTGACAGACAGCTATGCAAGGCAGAGAACCCCCAGGGGGAGGGAGCATTCCCTGCCTAAGGAAAACACAGAGAAGGGGATTAGAAAAGTTTACTGATTTGAAATCTTTCCAAATCAGTCCTGAAATCAACCTCCTTTCTCAAACCATACAGATCTACAAGGTCAAGAAAACATATTTCTATGTGTGGACTTCTCTGAGGAGCTGGACATCATGTGATATTATTCACTGTGGGGAAACTAGTGCTATGAATTCATAGCAAACACTTTATTTCTTTTTTTCTTTCCTTTCAATTCTTTCCTCCTCCTCCTCCTCCTCCTTCTCCTCCTCCTCTTCTTCCTTCTTAGGCAGGATGTCTCTGTGTAACAGCCCCAGCTGTCCTGAATCTAGCTTTGTCGACCAGGTTGGCCTCTGCCTCCTAAATGCTGGGATTAAAGGCATGCATCACCACTGCCCGGCTATTTCTTTTTTTCTTAACAGGAGTGAGAAATGGATTTTTTTGCGATTAATAGAGACATGAACAGTGCATTTGTGTCCGACCGAAAAGGTCAATGTCCTGTTCCTCCGGTCTGTTTGTGTTATCTCTGAGTATTTAATGCAAATAGAACATTTACAATAATATGGGCTCCATCCAACCCAGAGATGAGCCTTCATCAAAAGCCCCTTTAGTGGGCATGTAATGTATTTAATTAATTGTATATCTGAGACTAAAACATAAGGACAAAGATAAAAGAGTAACAAAACATTTTTATCCTGATAAAAAATAAGACACATGTAAACTGGGAAGAAGGGGAAAAGAAAAGAGGAAACAGATTAGAGGACTGTATTGTAGCTAAAACTAAGTCAGTCTCACCGACGAAAATGTAAGGATCCCAGATTACATATGAGTAAATTAAAAATGGGGAATCTTGCCATCAAGGCAATTCTAGAACAACTCAAAACTTTCCTAAGTAGCAAGAAAGAAAGAAAAAAACACGTTAAATTCAATTACTTTAATAAAAGTTTTATTTCTTGTTAAATTTCTTACATGTAAACAAATCCTGACTATCCTAACTTCCTTCTCCCATTCTCCTCAAGTGCCCCAAACCCATCATCCCCCCTTTCAAATTCCCTCCTAATTTTTGAGTGTTAATAACGTAATCCAATTAGTGCTGCCTATTGGAATGCTGACTGATCATCATACTGATTTGACCTTGTGTAGATAACCATACCTGCGGTGAGTACATGGATGCATTGGCACTGTCATGTGTGGAAGTACAGGTATCTATCTATTTACTGTATGTGTCTATATGTGTGCCTGTATGTGTGCGCGGACATGCTGTGGTGCAAAATGAAGGTCAGAGGAGACGTTTTTGGGGTGGGCTCTTTCTACCACCTGTGTCCTAGAGATCAAACTCAGACTTTCAGACTTTTCAGTACCTAAGGGTACTTTTCAGAAATTACCCTTAACCTCAGAGCCACCTGGCCTGCTTGAAATAATTTTTCATTAGAAAATAAAACACATCACATTAAAGATTTTAACAGCCATACTTGGGAGTCTGTGCAGATTCAGGAGGATAAGCAGGAGGATCATACTAGCCTGGGTCATATATATGTTACACAGTCTTTAGAAATGACAACACATATAATACATGCTATATTGTTAACTTATGACAAATTTTAGAACAAAGACACCAATCATTTACCTCCAGCATGATTCAGAAAGTCTCATCCCCCCTCCCCCAAAAACCCATCCTCTTGGGGACAACAAAAGGTGCCAAAAAGCCCAGTTCTGCATTCTTGGAGACCATTGCAACTTCTTCCCCTTTTGCCATCAGCAGCCCAAGTTTCCGCCTAAGCATTCAGCTTTTGACTGTACTTGGCACAAACCCAGCTTGTTTTTTTTTTTGGACACATCATCAGCCCTCACCTACAACCTATAATAAAACAGGCTTATGGCTTCTCCTGACTATATCTATGGGATCTGGAAAACTTGTTTGGGAGTTGCTTTGCTCAAATAAACCTGTTGCTATAATTTTTCAGTTTGGTTTGATCTGGTGTTGGTGAAGAAACTTATTATTTGGGGACAGAAAACCTGTTAGGATCCATGCAGTCAAAGGCGAGAGCCAGCTTCTACAAACTGTCCACCGATCAGCATACAAAGCCTGTGGTCCACACACATACACATTAGCAAGTGAATGTAATAAAAATTATTTTTCCTAAAACAAGACAATTTGATTCTTTATATTTCTTCCTATTTTTTACTTTTATTATTATTAATTTTTTTAGCTTAGCATGCAAAGTAATGCATTTTGTTATGGAATTTCCATACATAAGATTCTTATATGCTCTTACCCCTTCCTCATTGCTCTCTGATCCCTTCCTTTCCTCCATGGTAGTCCTCTTTCTCCTTTCTCGTCCATCTCTCCAGTGATCATCTGCCCTCTTCCCCTCTCCCCCTTGAAATCTCTTGGCTCTATAGTTTTCCCTTTCTTAAGTGCACATATTCCAAGTTACTGAGTTCAAAACAAAACAAAGCCAGAGCCCACATCAGCTCCAGAGGATTTCAGGTCCCACATAGGAGTCGTGGAGACAGTGGTGGGGGCAGGGACGGGATGAGGACTGAAATGATTTGAAGGTGAATAGGGATGGCTGCCCCAGTGTTTGCTGATAAAGGGGGAGACTTTTTATACTCAATAGTTTAGCCAAGGCAAGATTGAAAGCAGGCTCAATGATTCAGGGACAAAAGTGGCCGTTAACTACATAACATGATTCCTGAGACAAAAGCGCTAAGTTCAGCAAGTATGGAAATGTCTATTGCTCTTAAAGGCTCAGTACCTCTACCAGGAGCCCTCTTACATCAATGCAAGGGCCACAAGTTCCTCCTGCCTGGGATAAAGAGAACCACAGTTTTTAGCAAGCAGGAACTTTCCTCAGGGCCCTGAGGGAATGGAGCCTCATCCAAATGTCTGACCTTGGGAAAAGGACTTCCTCTGGGGACCACACTCCACTACAATTTAAGAGCAATTTTCCTTCCTCGAGGGGCACGATGCAGTGTTTGCATTGAGCTGTTCTGTAGTTGTGTTCCTTTGTCTTAGTCTTACTATACTGGGCCTGTTTCCCTCATATGCTCCCAAAAGGAAAGGTACTGGTGTCTTACTCTTTTTCCAGTACACCATACCGTTCTGATTTCTACTTGTTAACTGAACTCTTCCCCTTAATGGCCTCAGGCCCCGGATCTGGTCTGCACACTTTTCTTCCTCATACCAGTTAGTAGATCTCTAAACTTTCCTGGTCTTACTGTAATTAGGAGGACACAACGGGATTCCGGTGTGCAGTCATCTAGCTATATGGTTCCACAGTGGTGGGGATTTTTTTCCAAAAAATTATTTTGTTTAAAGAAGTTGCCTTTTCATTTTCAAGCCCGCAATAAATTTCCCAAAGGAAAAGGCACATAAGGAACTCCTATAACACATAGTGGGAATCATTAAGAACTGGAAGTAAAAGGGTGCTGGAGAACTGTGGTATAAAACGTTGAAATGCTGGCTCTTGGTCGAGGAGCAAAGGTCGCCATGTGGTCCACACCACATATCCCTTCCCCGCAACTCTACCATGTTCTTTCTGCAGTGTTGGCGATGGGACCCAGGTTCTCCCAAAGGCTAAGCTGGCATTGTGGCAAGGGGCTCCATCCTCAACCTCACACCAGATTTTCAGCAGGAGTGCTTTGATGATTAAGCTATGGCTTGGGCATCTACATTTTGTTCTTGGCTAGGCAAGCTGGCAACATTCGTAGATATCTGTTATCTGTTAGGATGCACAGTTTTTGTTGTTCTGTGCATTGTCTCCCAAGCTACAGAAAGTGCACAGCAGGACACCATGAACAAATGACATCCTCCCAAATTTCTCTAGGTAAACCCAAAAAGTAGTGTTTGAGGCTTGATGGTTTGTTCACAGTGTTTTCTATTACATCTGTAGTATTTACAATCCCCACAACAATGTGCGCCCACTTTTCTCCACACCCTCACTAACACTTGCCTTCTCTTGTTCTTTTGGTAACAGTGGCCATTCCAGCAGGTGTGCCTGCTGCCTCTTCTGGTTTTGCTTTGCTTTCTCTGGTGATTAATGACAGTGAGAATGGCTACATAGACCTGTTGACCACTCTGGTGCTTCCTTTGGAAAATATTTAGTTGGGTTTCTATGATTGCAAATTAATTTTTGAAAATAACAAAGAGAAAACTAAGGAATTTTGAGAATAATGACAACTTGCTCCTTTCAAACCAGCTGGCTACCAATGGAGACCAGCAGTGTACATCCCAGGCCAATGGTCAACTCACTCTTCTTCTGCCCCGGCTTTCTGAGTGCTGGAATCGCAGCGGTGCACCACCACACCCAGCTCTGCCTGTTTTACTATTATTTTTGTTATTGAGTGTGAGTTCCTGGTATTTATATATTAGCCCCTTATCTAAAACATGCCTAGTATTTGCTCTCCCCCAATCCCTGGGGGGCCTTTTAATTTTGTTTTAGCTGAGAGTTTTTTTTGTTTGTTTGTTTGTTTTTGTTTGTTTTTGTTTTTTTTAGTTGATGTGGTTTCATTTAATTTTTATCTTTGCAAGACTGGGAGAATGACAGTGCTATGCTTGAGAATTTTATTTGTATTTTCTTTTGGTGATATCCACAATATCACTGCGAAGACACTGCTCCTTTAACGCTCTCCAGGGTGAGTTCTCTCCAGAATCTCTGAGAATGCTTGAAGGGAGAGGACAGATCAACACCAAACCCATCCAGGTGTCAAACTGAAAGGAACTTTGCAGAAGAAATTCATTCAAAGGCTCATCTAGCAGAATAGGAGGTAAAACCAAAGTATGTGGATTCTGCAGGAAGGGCATGATTCTCTTTTTGGGGAGTGCAGCGTGACCCCCTGAGCAGACGATAAACACACACCATGTGTAAGGCCAGCACACATGCTAAATATCTAAATGGAAGTGTGGTGGTTACATCTGGTGAACTGTGGATAATACAGGATCCAGAGAAGCGCCTGTAAGCAGAACTAATCCTCTGGTTACACCTTTTCTTTCTAGCCCTCCCTCCTTTTCCGACCTGCCCCTTAGAGGTTGTCATTCTCCTGGACTTGTTCCTTCCTACTTATAGTGGCCACTGCTGAGAGGAACGAGCTGTGGTATGGACTAAGAGGTTAGCTTCAGCACTATGCCCCAAACCAGAATGACGAGCCAGCACTCAAGACATTTCAGGCAGGAACCTAGAAGTGCTGAAGAGTGACATCTGATTGTGGGGAGAGGGAGGGAGTGAAGGTTCTACAGCCATTTCCTCCAGATAGAAACACTCGGGAGACAGAAACAGACTGAATTAGCTCCATTTCCTACTGCTGTGACCAAGTAACTAATAAGAAATATTTAAGGAAGGAGGGTTTGATTTGGCTCACAGTAGGGGATACAGCCCATCATAGTGGCAAAGGTATGGTGGCAGGGGCATGAGACAACTGGTCACATCATGGCCACATCAGAAAGCAGAGATAAATGCTGGCGCTCATCTTCCCTTTTTATTCAGCTGGGACCTCAGGGATGGGATGTTACCACTACTTCAGTATCACTTAGGTGCAAATGTCCTCAAACGCAGTCCAGAGTTGTTTCCATGGTGACTCCAAGTTCAGTTAGGTTGACAGCAATTAACCACGCAGACTAAGACTCAGGAGAGACAGTTAGGAGTGGACAGTCATGTGAAGGAGGTGCCCAGACCAGAAGCAAGAGGGCAGAATCCAAGTCAGATTCCAACCTTGGAGAAGGCGGCTCCAGCATGGACAGCCGTATTTCCCTGACATTTACCATATGGAATATGTATGCCTACAAGGATAGTAGTCGTTGGCCTACACTCACACGGATCTGTGCCACCTTCTAGTTGGCAATGAGGACGACTGGAGCATGGGCACGCAGAACAGGCACTGCGTCCCAAGTCTAGGAACTTCCTCCTTCCAAACCAGTTGCTTTCCTTCGCACAGTGAAGAAAAATGCCAGGAGGCCACTGCCATAACGGGACTGCTGAAGGGCTGAGTTTAGATCCCACATCAATCCTGGTTCTTCTTTGTGGCTTTAAGCCAGACCTGTAACTGCTGGAAGATTCTCTGTGAAGAGGTGCAGAACATTCTGGAAGTCACAACTCAGCACTGGTAAAAAGAAGGGTCATGCAAATCAAGTATGTAAATGCGAATATAAAACACCCAGAGCCTTTTCTCTTACCTGGCGCCCCAGGCGGAGGCTGGGAGAGTCTGAAGGCCTCACAGGTGCCATATCGAAGCAGTGGGAGGCACCAGGAATTAGAAGGGCTGGCTCAGAGGGTCCCAAGTCCTGGGTGACACTCAGCACATGCCAGGGATCGGTGTCCCCTGGAAAGAAAGGAGAGGATGGTGTTGAGCTGGAGCTACAGTGATGTTGTAGAGCCAGGTTCTGGTGGCACACTCACCATTAACATACAGGACTTGGGTGGCTCCGGGGGTCTGGCCACCATAATAGGAGTTTGTCTGGGCCACAGCCTGGGCAACAGATGCAGCAGAGAGACCAAACACTTGTTCACACAGGTCTAGCTGGGAGGGCAGTGCTGGGAGCTGGGAAAAAGGGCAGGGAGGACCCTCACAGGTGACATCTGTGGAAAGAGAGCACCTCTGAGTGTGAAGAATACATGCAGCCCCCTTCTCTCCTTTAATAATAACTTATCGAACACTCCCAAGTAGTGACTTCCATAAGCTCACAGATCTGCCCAACAGGCTCACACATCCCAGATCATGATATCCCCCAGTGACCGGGGCTGTGATGGAAAAGGCCAGGAGGTGGGGCTCCCAGAGAGAGCTCAATGGGCTTGGGGAGGGCATCCTGCAAGAGTGAGGGCCTGGGGAATTAGGATGATTGAGCCAAGCAACAAGAAGAAATGACCAACAGGGAAGAGAGAGAGTGAAAAGGTTTAGAGGGAAGGGAGACTCTGGAATGACTGGTTCTCTCACACTGGATCATGTCTCCCCTGCTTCAAATCCACAGCTCACACTCTTCGGGGTAAACCTGACTTTCTTAGCCTCACATGGATCCTTCACCATTTACTGACCACCTACAATGTACTCCGACATGGGCATAATCGAGCAGAAAGTAGCAACCAAAATAGTACTGCTGTTATTGTCAGTTTATAGATGGGGAAACCGGCTAATCACAGTTAGGCACTTGCCTAAGTGTGTCCCAGAGCACACACAGAGGAAACAGAATTTGAACATTCTACTTCATGCCACTATTCTCGCTTGTCTTCAAAGTACAAAAAGGATTTAGAACTCAACTCTGAGCTGGGTATGGTGGCACATGGCTGTCATGTCAGCACTCAGAAGCTGAAGCAGGAGGAGTAATTAAGTCTAAGGCAAACCTGGGCTACATAGTAAGACTCTATCCTCTAAAAGAAAACAAAGGCTTAATTCCGGGGTAGGACACCAGATCTGACCAATGATAAAGAATACCTACACTCAGATACACAAAACCCCCATTACTTTTGTAATATGATGTTTGAGTTTTTAATCTGCAGTGTTTGTTTGCTTTCTGCCGTTCAGATTTAACTGGCCATCCTGTATTTTGTCTGGCAACTCCAACCTTGGGTCACTAAAGTGTGAGCCCATATTTAGGAAGACTTCTCTGGCTACGGTGTAGAAGTCACACTGCACAGGCGGAGTGCAAGCCTAGAGACCAGAAGAGACGAAGGATGCAGGCAGCAGTGTGTGTGGTCTCTGACAGGACCACAGAGTAAGAAGTAGAGGAGACGACAGGTTGCACAGAAGCAGAATTCAGTGCTTGGCAGGGCATTTGGACAATGGGAAGCAGGCATCAAGATAAAGTTTCTAGCCCTGTGACTAAACAAAGCTGGCAATGTTCTGGGATACAACACAGGAAGCACATGGAAGAAGGGAGAGAGAGGGGACACTTGGGTTGCGACCTGAAGTATGAGTGTTAGAAGGCACGTCACACCAGATGGCTGTTTACACTCTCCAGCCAGATGCCTGTGGGGTTCCACAGGGCCTAGGAGTCTGGTTAGTTGTGATTGTGAGTTCAGATCATCCCTAACATCCTCTGCTTTGGGAATTAGGCAGGTCACTCACAGAAGCCGAACTCAGTGCACGTCTGGTACAACCACTGCCGGTCCCCCACGCCAGACACTTGAGGTTCGGTGGTTCTCAGCTGGGCCACTGTCTCTGCCCGGGAAAAGCTTAAACACCTCTGGCCCATGCTGCGCAAGACTATCTAGGGACAACACATACATGCATAATCCGTGCATACATACATAGACACATTCCCCTCTCCTAGCAAGGCAGGGCGCCACAGGCTTATAGGAGGGCTCCAGGTCAGGAGAAAAGGGTGAGTTCCTGAGTTTTCCTGTGGGGGAAGTCAGGGAAGGGAAGTCCCTGTAACTAAATGTCCAAAGTCTTATCATCTGCAGGACCCTGGGCAAGAGTTAATCGTTCTACCTGTTTGCTTTTCTGTACGTGGGTGGGGTAATGATAGTGCCTGTCGCCTGAGAAACTTTTAGGTGGAGTGAGGTATTCATAAAGAACTTGGTCCAGGACTAGAGCAGGGTATGTGATGGCAGAACTGTAACCGTAAAACGGGGAGTGTGTGTGTGTGGGGTACCCCTAGAACTCTTATCTCAGAGCGCCCTTCCATCAATCTTATATTTTGCATTTGCTGTTTGCCAGACACTGCTGCGGCCGAGACCAAATAATAAGATAATAGAGATAATAATCATGGTCTCTAACATTTGTATGCTTTGTGTTTAGCACCTGCCTGATTGCTTAATAAGCTAATTTTACTATCAGTCGGGTGAAATATGCAAACTTTATTTTTTAATGAGGAATCTAAGGAGAAGTGGAGGGTGTCTGTTGCCTGAGCTCAGCGGAGGTGGACGCAGCCTTGGTCCGCTAACCCCTGGCTTAAGTGCGCGCCCGGGTAGGTTACCTGCACCGCCCGGCGAAGCCCGAGGTAGGGCGTGGAGTGACTGCGGTTGCCGGAGTCCCCGAGGAGGAGTCCGCAGAGCTGGCGCACGCTCAGCGGAGTTCCCGCCTGGCCGTTGTACTGCACGGTACCTCCCACCAGCGCCTGCAACGCCCCCAGCATCTCTCCCTGGTCTTCAGTACGGTCCAGCGACCCGCAGGCGCCCAGCTCCTCCTTCAGCACGGCCTGAGCTGCGGGGCCTGCGCGCAGAAGTCGCTCCACCTCCGCGAAGGCTGCGGAGGCCGCCGCCAGGCACTTCGGGAACCAATAAGCGACGTTTGCGGGGGGAACTGGATTTTCCCTTTTTTAGAACCGCATCTTCTTGGGGTGGTTCCCAACCTGGGTCCATGGCCTCACTAAAGTTTCCCTCCCTATTCTTTCGCACCCTCTTTCTAGAGCTCGCTAGAGGCCCCGCCCCTGGTAACTCCTCCCCTCCCATGCCACGCCCACCCGGCCCCGCCCTCTTCTCTGTACGGCCTTCCCTACCTGGCGCTTGCTCTCTGGATGCTTCTTCCATTCTTCATTTCCAGCAGTTCCACAACCTACCCGCTAAGGTCTTCCGCCACCCGCTACCCTAAGGCTGCTCCGCCCCTCTGACCAGGCTTCCCCCGAGCTCTTTCCACTCCCTCTCCTTCCTCCACACTTTAGACCCTGCCTACCTCCAGCGATCCACCTATCGCTACTTGGGTCAAGCTTCTGGCCACCACCTGCAGCGGGCGGGAAGGACGTCGGGGAAGTGCGAGCTGGGCGTTGCCTCGCGTCCACTCCTCCACCCCTCCCACGTCCTCCCATCCCTCGACCCACTCCGCCCCCACCCCCCGCGCCGCTGACGCCTTACCTCGTTGTAGGCGTGAAAGTCCAGCACGGCGCTCAGCGGTGCGGAGGAGGCGACGGCGGCGAAGACTAGGTGGGGGAACTATTGAAAGGAGGACGTCATTCTGGGTCGAGGAGGGATGCCGGTGTCCCGAGTCCCTCTCCGGTCCCAGTGACACGTATGGGTAGGGAGAGGCGTGGGAGTGAGCCAGGTTCGGACTCCCGAGGAAGACCTCTCCACCCCCGCCCACCCGAGGAATTCCAGGGACCTTCAACCGGGTCCAGGTGGCCAGGGAGCCAGCGTAGGAACCTCCGAAGCAGATCCAGGGGCTGGAGGCGGACACGTTGAGGAGGCGGGTGAGCGCCTGGCGGGCCGAGGCCACGTCAGCTAACCTGCAAAAGAGCGAAAGTTGGATTCCCCGACCCCTGGGGGTCACTATACAGACCCGGACCAGAACCTCAGCTGGGCCCTAGGCTCTTTCCGACGACTCTCGCTGTTTAAGCCAAGGGAGAAGGCCTATCTACCTTCCTTCAATACCCATTTTAGGTGAGAACGGAAAAGTTTCCTAGCACCTTAGATTAAAAACAGAAATAAAGAGAGGCCGGGGCAGTACAGGAGGGTGCCTCAGAAGAAGAGGGTTCGGGATGGGCTAAGGAACTGGGGGCTGGGAGAAACCCAAAGAGAAAGGAGAAAGATACTGGAAACTAACGTCCTTTCTGTTCTACAACTTTTCTGAAGTGGTTCTCAGTCAGTGCCATGTGGCTTTGAGCTTATAGAGAAGTGGAGGAGAGACAAGGAGCGATGGAGACAAGACAGGATGGTCAGAGAGGCAGAGAAAAGAGAGGTACAAACCCAGAAAGAGGATAAACCTCGTTGAGAGCATTAAAGCCCATGAGAGGCTGGGGGAAGGAATGGTGGGGATTAGTCACAGAAGTGAGGCGCACAGGAGAGACACACAAGTATCTGGGAAAAGGCCACTCTTTGAAGAGGAAAAGTTCCAAAGCTTGAGACAATCGATGTATCTGCCAGTGTGTAGCAAGAATTGGCGTGTAGCGGAGGTCCTGTGCGTGTGAGTGTTAACTGGGGAAACTTGAGGCTTCTAGAAAGACTGATGGGCAGCAGGGGGGATGTAAGGAATGAACTTGAGAGTCATGATCCGATTTATGCTCAGGCAGGATTCCATTTTCTACCTGGAAGTCAGGGGCAGAAACGGGATGTGGCCATAGTTTTGCTAAGAGATCCTGCTGGTCTGGAATAGTAGTCCACAGTGAGAGCCTAATGTTCTTTGGACCGAAAGATACGAATGGAGGGCAAGAGAAAGATGGAAATAGAGACAGTTAGAGATGACAGGTGAAAACCTATGAAACACAGAAGAAAAGGGGGAGCCGGAGACTCAGAGAAGAGTGGACAGTAACAGAGAAACACAGCTGTGGAGACACTAATAGCATTGCCATCCTATAATTTCAAACACCTTCCTTATCCTCACTCACGCATGGCGGCTGGACAAGTAGCGAAGTTGGGCCATATCCAGGCCCCCAGCAGGCACACTCAGACCATAGAATCTGTGTTCCAGGCTTATCACCAGGGCGCCCCAGGCAGGGGCCAGTGCTGCAGGATGCCCTGCGAAGAGCACATGGGAGAGAGGTGGATGTGGGTTAGGAGGTATGCGAAGTCTCGGGTCTCCCAATATTTTCACCTGCGGTTCCCCTTCCTAGTCGCCAGTCCCCCATACTTTGCTCCTTACCTGCCATCACTGAGCCAGGCCCAAGGCTGCCCTCACCCCCTATGTGCAGAAATACTGGTGCATCTTGGCCAACTCTGTGTTGATCATTCACCCAGTACCTCTAAGAGGGGGATGAGAGAGAAGAAATGGCACAGCATCCTGACTCATTCTCCTTCACATCAGTCTTTTCCCTAAGAATCTCTCCTTCTACTTAGTGGTGTCTTAGCTGGGCTCGTCCAGGTCACATAACTGTAAAGGGAGATATTTTGGGCCCTGGGATGCAGAGGTGGGAACCCTAGGTACTGCCTAGCTCGCTGTGCGGTATGCTAAGTAAACTATTTTTCTTTTTTTAAAAAGAAAGTAGGTATTTTTGTTTGTGTTTGTGTTTTTTTTTTTCTCTTAAATCCTTAGGACAGGGAACTGGCAGGTGCATGGTAGCCATCTGCTATTTTGTGAAGCAGTAATAGTGACTAAACAGGTTTAGGAATCATGGGCCAACTTTTGGAGATTAGGTATAGAGGAGGCAATAGAAAAGCATACATTTATTTATTCCTTCTTGTGATTCTTTTGTTTTGTTTGTTTGTTTTCAAGACAGAGTTTCTCTGTGTAGCTTTGGAGCCTGTTCTGGAACACGCTCTGTAGACCAGGCTGGCCTCACAGATCCACCTGCCTCTCGAGTACTGGGATTAAAGGTGTGCACTACTACTGCCCAGCCCCTTCTTGTGATTTCTGAACACCTGTTGTCACCACTAATTTCAACACTAGTTTGAACTTCTGCTACATGTTAAAATCTGCTGGTTGGTTGGTTTGTTTTCTCGAGACAGTCTTATGTCTTATCTCACCTTAAACTCACTGTGGAGCCCAGGCTAACTTTGAACTCCCGATCCTCCAGCCTTTACCTCTCAAGTTAGGGATTGCAAGTGTGCAGGACAAGGTAGAAAGGGGGACGGGGGTGAGGGGGGCACAGACAAGGTATAGAGTAAGTTGACTGACCAGATAGTACAGTGCATAGTGGTCTCCTCTACTAGCCTTACCTGCAGGAAGGTTCTTCTGTCAGATGCGTTGAAGGGATCCAGTGGCTGCTCTAACCACCCTTGTCTGGGGACAGTCACAAGACCCTGGCTTTGTCCAAAGCCCAGATGGAGGTTAGAGCTCTCCTGAAACCTCTGAATGTGTTCTCTCAGGCGCCTGAGAAGAAAGGCTGTGAAACAGGAAGGCATTGGAGTTAGACTGGGCTCTGTAGGTCTCCTTACTTGGTCCTCAACCTTGTCTTACCTGAAGCTGACAGCTCCCAGAGGGAAACCAGAAGCAAGAGAGCCAGCCATGGAGCCTTGACTGCCATTCTGTCCAGTACTCTGTGTAGGGAAGGGTTCCAGGCACTCTACTCTTTTTCCATCACTGAAAACCTAAAATACATCTTCAGGGCTGGGCTTTGCTGTCATGGGAAGCTCCTGTTTCTTTTGGGACGCCTCTCTTGGCAGGTTAGGCGTCCTTAGTAATCGCTAAAGCATAAAGACGCCAGAGTCTGTAGAAGCTGACTGACAGCAATGCTGCCTGCACCTACCTTTCTTTTCCTCTGGCCCCTTCACCTTCATGGTCCCTTTACTCTGAGTCTTTCTCCCCTGCCTCTTAGCACACTTTTGGTTGTCCCAACAATCAGTCTCCCTCCGTTCTTTGATCCCAAATTTCTGCCCTGTCAGCTTTCCAGGCTTCCCACATCACCTCCACCATCCTCTCTGATCTACAGTCCTACCACTCTTGGTTGAAACTCCCTTACAGTGTGTGAACTCACCAGCCTATGCTGCCTCAGAATTTTTACCCTGTTTGTCCTCTCTGCAAACTGCTGTTTCCTCATAAATCCATAAAGTTTGCTCCTTAATATTTAATGTTCAGAAAGAACAATTTTTTATGAAGGTAAAAATGAACTGGGATGTGGTAGAATGCTTGCCTCTCACTCATGGCATGCTGGGTTCAATCTCCAGCACTAAAACAGCCAGGTGTGGTGAGAGACTGGGACCCCTGTAACCCCTTCCTCAGGAGGTGGAGGTGAGGATCACAAGTTCAGTCATGTTCAGCTACATAAAGCAAGTTTGAGGGCAGCCTGGAATATAAGAGAAGAACAAATGTTTTATTGGCGAAGGTGTGGCCCTTCTGTATCCCTCTATCCAGCTTGGTGTTTTATTCCTTTTCAAGGCACTGTGAGAAGTGTTTAGATTTTAAAATAATATGTGTATGAGTGCTTTGCCTATTTGTGTACGTATGCACTCTGTATGTGTCTAGTGCCCAAGGAGGTCAGAAGAGGGTATGAGGTCCTCTGGAACTGGAGTTACAGATGATTGTAGGTGCTGGGAAGCAAAATTGGGTTTCTCCAAGAGCAGAGCCATGCCTTCAGGCCCTAATTATGAGAAGTATTATATGTATTTTCATATATGTACATACATATATACATGTTTATTTTGCTGTTCCTCTAACTAGAAAGTAAGCTTCAGTCAGCTTGGGATCCATCTCTCTTCCTTTGCTAAACACTAAATTCCACCAACAGTGTATATCGTAATTACTTGTGACAATAATCCATCAATTAATTTAGCTAGCTCCTCTTTAAAACTGTATCAAGGATTTTGTGAGCTCATACTTCAGTGGTCTCACTTCTGAGCCACCACTGACTTATCTTAAAAAAACTGCCATATGGCCATTTCCACTCAGCAGAGAGGAGATTCCATTAAATAGGGGACCACCTATTCCTTTCATGGTTCAGGACACACTCCTGACTCCATATCTTACTCAAAGTAAAATCTAGAGCATTTAAAGTGGCCTTTGAAACTCCACATAACCTAGCCCTTGTTTCCTTCACAGTTTCACTTCATACCCCCTTACTCTTAGGCTCTTTCCAGCCACACTTTGTATTTCACAAGTGTATGAGCTGCACCCCCTCAGAGTCCAAGCTTTCTTTAGGATGCTCTAGCCCCCAAGCACTGGCAAGTCCTGACGCTATCACTTTCTATACTTTTCCTCTTATGTTGTAATTTTTTTCTTCTGTGTTGTAGATTGAACCCAGGTTCCTAAACACAAACACAAAAATAGGGAACACAATAGATAGTGAACATGTACTCTTTGTCCTGTTCTGAGAGTGCACTCTAGTCTAGTGCAACATCATAACACTAGGTTAAACCTCCTCTTAGGAGCACTTGGTGAAAAGTGTACGTCTCAAGTTCCCTCAGACAATCGCTTTCAACAACCATATGGATCTTCTCTATATGTAAAGAGGCCGCGTACAGCATGGAAAAAAATGTTTACTGGCTATACATCTGAAAGAAGATTGGTGACTAAAACAATCAAAGCTAAAAAATCTAAATTCCAAAAAAACAAACAACTTAATTCAAAATTGAGTCATGGAACTAAACAGAACTCTCAAAAGAAGAAATACAAATGGCTGAGAAATATATTTGTCAATGTTCAACATCCTTAGCTCTCAGGAAAATGTAAATTAAAAACTACTTTGTGATTTCATCTTACTCCACTGAGAATGGCTAAGATAAAAATAAAACGGTGATGAATGCTGGCATGAACGTGAGAAAAGGGGCGTAAGCTGGTGCACCCTCTATGGAAATCTGCGCGGAGTTTCCTCAGCAGGCTAGAACTAGATCTATCACATGATCTGGATACACTACTCTTGGGCATATACCCTCTATACAGGGATACTTGTTCACCTGTCCTCATTGTTGCTTTAATCACAACAGCCAGGAAATAGAAACAGCCTAGATGTCCATCAGCTGATGAATGGATAAGAAAGCAGTGGTACATTTCCACAGCGATATATTATTTAGCTGCAGAGAAAACGCTATTATGAAATTCACCAGTAAGTCACTGAAGCTAGAAACAGTCATTCCTGGTGAGGTAACACAGACCCAGAAGGGCAAATATGTTTTGTCTCATGTGGATGTTAGATTTGAATCTTTAGACATTTGTTTACGCAGATAGATACCCAGCGAGGTCAGGAAACTAGTGAGGGGACATTAGAGGTGGTCCTCAAGGGAAAGAGGATAAAACACAAGTAGTCTGAAGGGGGTTATAGAAATAAAGACAAGAAAGGGCTAAGTGAAGTGGGGACTGGGGGCAAGGTAGAGGAAGAAGTATGGGGAGGAACAACTAACATTAAAGATCCCAGAGAATGGCATAGAAAGTCCGCTGCTGCCTGAATTGTCATCATCATCTTCCTCCTCCTCCTCTTCTTTTTCTCTTTTTTGGTTTTATGAGATGGGATTTCTTTGTATAACAGTCCCGTGTGTCCTGGAACTTGCTTCATAGATCAAGCTAGCCTTGAACTCACAGAAATCTGCCTGTCTCTGCCTCCAGAGTGCTGGGATTAAAGGTGTGCACAACAACGCCCAGCTTTGTTTGATTGTTCTTAATTATATACATATAGAAACACACATACACATTACAGGAGTTTAAATGGCCTCCACAGGCACTTGAACTCACGTGAGTATGCGTGCGCGCACACCCACATATACATAATTAAAACATATCAAAATAAAATAAATCTTTTAAAAAGTAAAACAGATAAAATATTTATCCCTGCATTTAAATTTTCACAACAATTATATCAAATTTTTCACAGTCTATAATATGCTCAATAAATTCAAGATGACGCCATCGTTTATTTTTTATAAGGATAAAATAAGTTTATATTTGCATTTAAGAGAAAGCCTAACTTGCAAGACAGTCTTACAGGCGAACGTACAGCACACCTTTCATTTCCATGGAATGGAGTCAAGGATTACGTTTGAAGCTCTATCCACTGTAAATCAACAGTTGCTGGGAACAGAGTCTGGAAAAGACAACAAAAGGAGGAAACTTTTCACTGGGGCCTGTGGGCTGGAGTCAGAACCAGTACTAGATCACACAATTCCAGGACAAGAACAAAACAGTGGAGCTGGGAAGCGACCACATACAGGGTCAACGTTAGGTAAATCCCTAGCAGGTGTTTACATACAAACCAAATAATTCTAAAAAGACTTGATCATTACTTTATGAATCCATCTGCAATATCCACATCAGAAACAGAAGAAGCTCACCGGGTTCATATTACATCCCATCCAGGTCTCCTGACTGGTGCCCTTCAGATTCTGGAACAGTTACCGTACATTTTTTTTTTTTTTCCTGGGAGAAGGCAGAGGGCACACTGCTGGGGCACTGGAGCGTAGGTGTTGTCGCGCCAGGGGCAGTTGGTCTGCAGCTGAGCATTTTTCTCATTCACCAGTGCCCTGACTTGCTATTTGGTAGACTGTGCTAGTTTACCAAGATTCCCCACCAGTGATCAGAATCAACCCCCTGCCCGCCGCTGCTCCAGGCTAGGGTATCTTGCTACCGCGTATTTTTTCCCTTTATGTAAGCTACTGAATATATTTTTAAAATATTCTTATGGTTTACTTAACTTTATTTTATGTGCATTGGTGTAAAGGTGTCAGATCCCCTGCAACTGGATCTTCAGACAGTTGTGAGCTGCCATGTGGGTGCTGGGAAATAAGCCCGGGTCCTCTGGAAGAGCGTGCTCTTAACCACTGAGCCTTATCTCCTGCCCCTTGAATATATTTCTTTGTCTAGACTGGGGTCCAAGATGCCTTTCTCTTTGGTGCGATGATAACAGAAAATGGTGAAAGGTGTTTTTGTGTGGTTCTCACACTTTAGGTACAGTGTGTTTTGATAAATGGGGTCTCTGCCACTGACTGGAACCTTGGTTGTTCTTAATAGCCCTCCACTTCGGTTGGTGTCACTGTCATTATTTCTTACGGCTCTCTCTCTCTCTCTCTCTCTCTCTCTCTCTCACACACACACACACACACACACACACACACACACACACCCCACAGGTGGGCAAGAAACCATTCATTCTTTGCCCTTTAAAAAGCATCAACAATTATAGTTAAAGAAAAGCAGTCATTGTTCGAGCTTAGAATAAAAAATAAAATAGTTATGAAAAGTGTGTATGACGACTACAAACTTTTTCAAAATTAAGGAGAACATTTGAAGCTTCAGGGTTCAACTCAGTTACCGGTAAAATGATTAAGCTCAGTTTTGCATCGTTTGCTTTAATTTTTTTTGCACTGGAAACAGCCTCCGAGACCAAAGCAAAGTAAAGCACCCTGAGTGCTCAGACGGGGGTATGCCAGGCTCCCTCGCAAATAACAGCCACCAGACCAAAACAAGCAGCAACAACAAAACGACTGCGGAGTCGGCTGTGGTTGTGTGGTTATTCACACGTGTAATTCTAGCAATCTGGGAAGTTGCGACAGGAGGATTGGCGCTCATTTAAGGCTTCCCAGTACTACTGAATGATTTCCAGGTCAGACTGCTTTCAGGCAGAGGTCTCGGAGGCTCAGAATGGAAACAAACCTAAGAAAAGGCCGGGAAAAAAATGTGGAGAGCGCGCACTTGCCTTAAAGAGTCAAGATTGCTTTA